CCCGTGCTGCGTGCAGGGCCGTACCAAGTAGCTCCCGGGAAGCACAGGTGCTGCGTGTGATTAGTACACAGCCCCCATCCTTTTCTATGGGACTACGCGGCCATACACCCCCTACGCTCACTTTTCCTTTTCAAGTGCACCCCCGTGTCATAAGTTAACCCCCTCTGGCACTACAGGCATTTAGCGTAGGGGCATTTGTTGTCACCAAGAAATATAGTTTTTACTCTTTAACCCAGCGGTTCTCAACCTGTGGGTCGCAACCCATTTTTGAGTGGTTCGCTGCGTCCATTTCTGCTGCGCTGGGTGAGAGCCTCCTCCTTGCGCAGCAGTGTCAGTCAGCGGGAGGACAACAACGGCTGTGAATATAAAAGTGCCGCTGTACACACTCCCTGGCCGCTGCAGCGACATCTAGTGGCCAGGGAGTGTTTACAGCAGGACTTTTCTATTCACAGCCGTTGCTGTCCTCCTGCCTCCCATACAGTGCGGGCTCTGCAGGAAGTGGACATCTAAGCAGTGCTGGGGCTGAGAAGGCTGCATGGAGACAGAGCAGGCAGGTAGGTACCAGGGGCTGGGGAGTGCTTGTATTCTTGTGAGTGTGCTTCTATTTTTATTTCCAGGTCCAGTGCGTTGCTATGTCCTGAGTCCAGTCATTACTAAGTCCTGAATCCAGTGCATTACTAAGTCCTGAGTCCAGTGCCTTACTAAGTCCTGATTCCAGTGCCTTACTAAGTCCTGAGTCCAGTGCCTTACTAAGTCCTGAGTCCAGTGCCTTACTGAGTCCAGTGCAATACTAAGTCCTGAGTCCAGTGCATTACTAAGTCCTGAATCCAGTGCATTACTAAGTGCTGAGTCCAGTGCCTTACTAAGTCCTGAGTCCAGTGCATTACTAAGTCCTGAATCCAGTGCCTTACTAAGTCCTGAGTCCAGTGCATTACTAAGTCCTGAGTCCAGTGTATTACTAAGTCCTGAATCCAGTGCCTTACTAAGTCCTGAATCCAGTCCGTTACTAAGTCCCGAGTCCAGTGCCTTAATAAGTCCTGAGTCCAGTGCTCTGTTAGGGGTCACCACAACTTGGCAAATGTTACCAAAGGGTCCCGGCCCTAGAAAGGTTGAGAACCACGGCTTTAACCAGTCCACTGCAAACTCAACAACACACAGTGGAGAATGAATGCAACATTGAATCACCCAATAAACGGCTACAATCTTACTCACAAGCACTGTAAACTCTCTGTTTAATCAGCAGCATCTTTTATTAAATCCCTACCTAATTTTTAAGACCCCTCCCTTCCCGTCATGAATTCCCCTTGCACTTTTTTTTTTAAAGGCACATTATAAATACGTTCAATCCAGCAGTCTTCTGTCCATTCCAATGATGTCCTAACTCATCTACTCCAGTGGTAGGGGTTGGCGGACCTTACTCCTTGTTCATGTGATGACTTGTAACTGCCGAACTGTCCATAAGTACAGGGTGAGCCCAGGCTGGTGTGATTATGTGCCCCAGGCGGCCTATCCATGGTGGCCATGGCTTACAGAAAGTGAGTAGGATGATGCTGTATGACAATTAACTAGGAAGGGGAATGGTACTGGATTGGAGAATTGTATGTTTGTGGAAGACAGCACCAGAGAGGAGGAGATTAG